CAAACAATGTTATGGAAAAAAATAAACTAAACAACATTTGTCTAGTTACTACATCCAAATTCTTTACCAAATTTAAAGTAAAAATCAAATATAGAAAATAAAAACAATGATAAAAATAAGAAAAAATAAAAAGAGAATTAAAATGAGTGAGTGTGCTAGCACCTTTTTGACACCGCCATATTTGCCGATTTTTTATTATTGTTTAGCATTGATAAATGCCTTGAAAATTTACAGATATATAGTTTACATAATCAATAACTCATTAAAAAGTTTTCAAAAAATAATAATTTTTTTTAGGGTCCGAAATAAAGTGAAAACAAAAAGTTAAAAGTGAAAAAAAACAAAATAGTGAGTGGGCGAGCACGTTTTGACACCCCCATCTTTGACGATTTTTAATGTTTTTTTTGCCGTAGCAGAATGGCTTCAAAATTTATAGACATGTAGGTTACGTCATAGAGAACTCACAAAAAAAACTTCAGAAAAAAAAACTTATTTTTAGGCCCCGAGACAAAATTTGGCGGGGGCCGAACCTGGAGGTGTTCGGCCCCGAACGGGACCCCGAATGCCCGAACGTTCGGGGGCCAGCCCGAGAGCCCCCGAACGTTCGGTCAGGTAACCCCGATGGCGGTGTATATTTTCATGTTTTAACGACATATGTATTCTCACGCAGGGCTGTGCTGATCTTCTTTTTATCGTTTCAATCTTAAAGGATCGTATGGATGTCTCATAGAACGTTCTCATTTTTCACATAAGGTGAGCGGTGGAGCATTCATCCCTATTTTTTTAGTTTATCCTCAGTACGTGGGTGGTAGAGGAAAATGTTGTTTTGTAAAACTGACCCACGTCGCATTTTTCATGTGCATTACGGTGATTTCTCACATGTAACACGCAACATAGTGTCATCCAACCTTTGTCTGTCAGTTTCTCTCATCCCTTTTTGTGGTCGCATTATCTCGAGGGGACCACTTATTATATATAAATATAATTTTATTTGTAATAATAATGGAAGTCTTGAATAAAAAATATTTGAAATTGGTAAATCAATTAGATGATTATATGTATGTGTACATATGTATATATATATTTGTTACTGGTGGATCTTCCTAGGCTAGGCCAAGTCCTTCCAAAGTCTCGGTGAAGGTTCCGGATATGCCAATGTAAAAAAAAAAAAAAAAAAAAAAAAAAAACTAATACATAGTTGCAAATCAATCAACTTTTGGTTGAGAGGTACCCCAAAATTTATTGTAAGACTTTAAATAAGTTTAAAATATAACAAAATAATATCATACCCCTATAAGCCTTTGTAATCCCATTCAATCTTTTTTAAACGATGGTCATTCCTTGTAGAGACTCTTTGGTAAAAAATACACAAATTAAAAGATGAAATTGGATTTTGATACATCTCGGTGGACGCAAAATTGCCCCATCGCCCCCCTTCTCACCCCCCAAAAAATAATCCCCCTTTTGGTGACACCAAATTACATTAGGTAGATTCCCCCCTTGCAGGTTCGCCCGAATCGCCTAGCCGGGTGGTCCGAGCGATGCAACCTTTGGTAACCTAATATATATAAATATATATATATATATATATATATATATATATATATATATACAGAGAGAGAGAGAGAGGGAGACAAAAAATAAATATATATATATATATATATTTATATATATATATAAATAACCAATTACTATACAACCTTTTTTTTAAGCAGTTGCAAACTTGAAAATTCGACCAATGTTAACGTCTATACAACAACCGATTATACGAATAACTTAAGGTCATGAATAAGATAAGGTTATTTAATATTCAAAGAAAGTATCAAAATGGGTAATAAAAGATAGTGATTAATATTGAAGTGAAAAATTGTAATATCCAACATACTCTCGTAAATATAAAGCTTATATAAATAATACATAAATATAGTGTTATTAGTTTCTTAGTAGCTGTGTGAAAAAGGAGGTAAATCCATATTATTTGTTAAATAAAATAAAAATAATATACTAGTTTTATAAATTATAAATTTTGGTTTTGAGTTCCAATCTCCATACAAGAAGAAGTCATGCATAAGTCAGTATTATTTTTTAACATAATATCACTTCATGATAATGATAACCATAAATATTAAAATAATATATTTTATTTTTGACATACAACACATTTATTCTTCTCTTGTAAAACAAAGTATGAACACAAAAGTCAAACGACTTATATCATTTAATGTGATCATCGACTATGTTTAAAATTAAAATGATAAAATATTTTTTTACAATATATAATCAAATATACAATGGATAAATAAAAATATTATATATATTTTTAAATAAAACGATGTAATATAAAACTTATATTAAAAAATGATTGTATGCATCATATCTCATAAGTGTAGGTATATGTCAGAATGTCTCTACAAGATGTAGGCAATTTTTTATTTTATTTTTGCAGAAATCTTTTTATTTATGCCCCTGTCAAGTCGGTGTACAAACTTTTAATCAAAACTTTACCGTTTAAGTTTTGATATTTCGCAATCGAACTTTCAAAAAGTTTACAAGTATTGAGGCATTTTCCAAAGTTAGATAAGGGGTTCAACCGACACATGCGGTCTACTGACCTTTATGGGTTCCCACTATTTTCTTAACCCAGAGAAAACGTATGTACGTTGTATACAAATACAACATACGAGATATTTTATGTTCAACCATAGCCCATGTAAATTATACATGAACTTTTTTTTTTTTTCTCCTAAGAGGGTTGCATTGCATTCTGTTGCAGTGCGATACAAAGACAATATTGGAGGGGTCAAGTACGCAAATTTACCCGTACAACCCTTTCGTGACCCATAAAAATCAATTTAATACCGTATCGTTTTAAGGTACAACTTTTCAAAAATTTGAAGCACCGTTAATTTTTTATTTTTTTCTCAAATTAGGTTGGGAATTTTGCCAAGAGACATAAGTAAAAATTATTGGTATTGCATTTGTATAACTTTTCATATTTTAAAAAAAAAATCAGAAAGCAAAAATATCCTTACAGAAAAATAAATATTTTTATTCTAAAATTTGGTTGTGAATTTGGACAAGATTGATTGGCAAAGGTTGTTAAAAAACTTCATACCAAAAACGTAAAAATGATTTACCTATGAAATCATTAAAAACCTTATCAAATAACCATCGTTTGTTTAAAAAATAATAGCACTTTGTTCCTAGTGCATTGCAATATTGTACAAGGTTTGTTTCTTCTAATTTTTTGATTATTTTTAAAAAAGTATATATAAAAATTTGAATCCAATGTACGTATATTATATTCGATAAAGAAAACATCATGCTATAATTTTCCTCCGGACAAAACGCACGTATGTACTATTTAACTTTTAGAAAAGTCAATTTCTCAAAGTCGCCCTATGAAATCCAAATAGTACGCACGTTGAAATAGTACGTACGTTGAAATAATACATACGTTAAAATAGTATGTACGTATGTTATATTCGAATAGTACACACATATGTTATATTCAAACAAATAGGTGTTCTATTCAAATAAAGCACACGACTCTCTTTTTCTCTCCCTCTTTTTTTTTCCCTCTCTCTCTCTCTCTCTCTCTCTCTCTCTCTCTCTCTCTCTCTCTTTGTGAATCCCCCTATGGCTCACGCCGGCTCACTTCCTCCCGATTGCTCCCGCCCGACTTTTTGAGGATTTTTTTTTTTTTTTTTTGAACTATTTCTCGATTCATGCATGTCATCCTTTCGTAGAGACCATGCTAATCCGGAAGGACAAGAATGGTTACAGGGTACTAATTGTTTTGTTTCCTCGTTTTCCGAAAGTTGGTACCCTATATCCATAGCATAACGCATTATCTTCGAATAGAACACGCCCTGTGCAATTTTCGGGGGAAGACTGTCGTATAACACGTTATGTCCGAATATAATCGTTCGGTGGAAGACTGTAGGCTGCCGGCATGCCATCTTCCGGAGCAACATCCGGTTGCCAGTCTCCTCATCTACGGGGCTGTGCATCTGCCATAAGTCAATTTTGTAATGGGAAGGCTATTACGGCAAATTAATCGTAGGGAGATCATATTGACCGTCGGATTCCCCTGCCAACGCAACCGGCAGGACTGGGGTTCAGGAGGGCGTCTGGTTGTGGCGGATGGACCTTCGCTCGCCCGGCGGGCCTCGACACTGGGGGAGGGGTTGGGCTTGCAGACCAAGGTGGACTAAAATTAGCGGGGCTGGAGCGAAAGAACAGCCATTGGGTGCCGTGCGGGGGTTTGGCGGGATGGCAAACCTGTCGTGCAAATGGATCGTCGTTCGGGTTTCAAAAGTGTGCTGCAATTCGAGATTGATTGACTATGCGATGCCATGCGCCGACTCCCAGAGACTCCCATAGACTCCCAGAGAGTCAGTCATGCTATGGACTCGGGGCCTCCCATCTAAGACGCCTGCCACGTGTCTGATTAACATCTCTCGCTTCCGCGCCGTCCTCGCCGTGTCTTTCCTCTGTCTCCTTCGCTCATTTCTCATTTCTCATGTTTGGCCTTCTTCTTTAGAGGAATTTGGGTTCTTTAGTGGATTTTAGGTTCGTTCAGGTCTGGCTTTTCTCCAACTGTAGTACCATGCTGATATCCTCGATCCTGCCAATTTCTGTGTCCAGTCCTTTTCTCTCGTTTTCCCTCTGTGTATACGTACCATTCACCCCCCACCTACCCGCCCGCCTCTTCTCTCTCTCTCTCTCTCTCTCTCTCTCTCTCTCTCTCTCTCTCTTCTGTGTAGGTGTGTGTGCATGTGCGCTTTGTAGCAGGAAGTGCATGTATCATCATGCGAATTGCATCCTTCATCTCCCACCTTAGTCCCGCTAGGCTTTAGCGCGCCTCTCTCCGGCCTCATCTCCCGTTTCACCTCCCGCCGCGTCTCCCCTTCCTTGCGTACTCTGTCTGTTTCTCTCTTTGTCCGTGCCTGTGTCCGTCTTTCTGTCTATGTTCACCCGTCTGCCCATCTTGTGTGTGTGTGCATTTGTGTGTGTGTGTGCGCGCGCGTGTGTGTGGGGGGGCGGGGGGGTGCCGTTGTGTCCCCGTGTGTTTGTTTGTTTCTGCGGCTCTGTCCATCCTTCCACCCTGGAGTGTGTGTGAGTTCTGCGCGGGGAGTTGACAGGTGTTGCTACGGTCTCCATTCCATCTTTTTTCTGCCCGTCTCTTTCTCCCCCTCGCTTCCTCTTCCTCCCCCTTGCGCGACGTTCTCTCCTCTCTCCTCCCTTCTGTCTCCCCGGAAATGGATAGTAAGCAGCAGTTCGGATCCTTGGGAGGAAGAGGGGGAGGCGTAGGAGGCGGAGGTGTAGGTGTGGGGGGGGATGTAGAATCGGAACCTTCTTTCTCCCTCTCCTCTTCGTCATCCTCCTCCCCCTCCCCTTCTGTATCATCGTTCGCGTTGCCAGCTGTCACTCCGAACGTCCCCCCGCTCCCGCAACACGCGCGCTCCGCCTCCTTCTCGTTCGCCACACCCGCTTCCTCCCCCTTGTACGGATCCGGATTGATCAGGTCGGGATCTCAACCTAGCGACTTGTCGTTGAAGAATTCGATGGCTTTGGCGTCTGGAGGCGTTCACCCTCTGCAGGAGCGCATTCCATCCTTCCGCAGTACCGTGGGGGGTCCAGGCGCCGCCACGCGCACAATCTCCCCCCCGATTGCGCGCCCCAGCTCTTCGCCTCCTCAGCCTCCTTCGTTGTCATCTTCCTACTCGTTTGCCGACCCTCTGCGAGGCAGCGGCAGCAAGAGCTTTTCCGCCGGGCATCTGGAGTATGCCGCCGCCGCGGAAGGACGGGCAAGCGCGGCGACGGCATCCGCTGGACCCCCCCCTCCGTCTTTTGCCAGGAGCGGACCGCCTCCTTTCCGCCGGATGTCAAGTCAAGATGTGGCACCCACCTTGGACGGCCTCCGACAGCTCGCGGTGAGTGGCGCTAATTCCTCCTTTCCTCCCACTTCTCTCTCTCTCTCTCTCTCTCTCTTTCACACACACACACACACATCTCCATCTCCCCCTTCCTTCCCTCGCTGTCCTCTACAGTGCCTCCGTCCGTCTCTCTCGCCCTAACTCCTACGCTTTCCTGCGTGCATCCCTCGCTCCATTCCCCTCCCCTCGCCCTCCCTCCCCGCTTCCCTCTTCCCGCTTTCCTCCGTTCCGCTCGTCTCCCTCCTACACCCTACAGCCGTCTTTCCCACGTCTTTTACATCTACTGCTCTCCCTGTTACATTGCTTTCTCTCCCATTCCGCGCCCTGCGTTGATCTCCGAGATCAGCTCGGAAGCTCGGACTAAGAGAGAGAGAGAACTGCCTGCAGATTGCAGGAAAAAGAAGATGAAGAAGAAGATACTGGACCGTAGGTAATATACCAAAGATGGAAGGTCAAGCAGTATATTTCCTAATCCGTGCTCTGCCACGTTCTTCTCCCGAACACAACTCGCCCTTGTCAAGATTGTATTGGGTCGGGAAGACAGCTTGTATGCATTCATGATCAGGGTGCGGGAAACGAGTTGGTGGAATCTCGGCCAATGCTTCTTCCGTTCCTCCGTCTCCAATCTTCCTTTCCTCTTCCCTGGTTCGTCCTTCCTTCCCCCCATGCTTCCAATCTCTCTCCCTCTGTTCCTCTCTTACTCTCTTCCTCTCTCTTTCCCTCTCCCTCTCTGCCTCGCCCTCTTCCTCTCCCCTTTCCCTCTTCCTCTCCCCTCTCCCTCTCACTCGTTCCCTCTCCCTCTCACTCGTTCCCTCTCCCTCTCCCCCTTTCTGTCTCTCTCTCTCCCCCTTATCCCCTCTCCCCTCTCTCCCTCTCTTCCTCTCTCTCCCTCTCTTCCCCTCTCGCTTTCCCTTTCTTACCCTCTACCCTCCCCCTCTCCCTCTCTCCCTCTCTCCCTCTCTCCCTCTCTCCCTCTTCCTATCTCCCTATCTCCCTCTCTGCCTCTCCCTCTCTCCCTCTCCCTCCCTCCCTCTCTCTATGGCTGCAAAT